AGTAAAACAGTAATATTTAAGTATAAAAATAATTAGATTTGAAATTAAGATCTTAAATATTTAATGCATGTAAAACAATAGAAAATAGCTGGTGTTGGCAAAGGTTAGAAATAATGGCTTGGTATTTTTTTTATTTATTTTTTTTAAGCATATGAGTTCATATTTAAATAATGTCTTTTATCAAAACAGCAGTTTTGCATTTTTATAATCATCCAGGAAAACTTGTTCCTATCTACGTGAATGAATGTTATATATTTGCCATCTTTGAACCACTGATTTAACAAAGAACCAATTCTCGTACTTTTCCAAAATATATAAATATACAGAGTTGGACCATCTGCCATCCTGTAATTTTGCCAGTGATATTAAATTGAATGCAGAAAAAATATTGACATTAGTTAGTATCGCAGTTAAAATTGTCTTCATATACATATGCGTGCTGTTCATAAATAAATAAAAACATCTGAAGGCAGAAAATAAAGCTAATCTACTATAGGAGGAAATGGTAATCTGTGAAAATGCATAAAGTATTTATGTTAATATCTATTTTCTAAAGCTTTTAAATAATATAGTAGTCCTATTATGCTTAGCATTCCCCTGCCCTAACACACCCCAGTTTTGGCAAATGACTATGAAACTTTAATAATTGTGCCAGAAGAGGACAATACATTCCTTCACAGAAATCACAGAATATAAATTTATCAACAACTGAAGCTGTAGAATTATATGAATCAACATTTATAGTTTTTCTTTTATGAAAATAATCAAAACAAGTTAAGTCCAACACAACTGTGTTGCATATTGCCATATTATTTAATTCGGACACTCCAAATGCAAGGACATTTAAAAATCCCTATTTAGCAGATATATAGAAATGATGTATATATTTAATTATGAATTTTTTTTAAGCCCTTTCTTTGTCCACATCCTATGCTCTTATGCGTACTGTGGCTGTCCAATCACAGATTTCCCAAATGCAGCTCAATGAGAAGTCTTTGCAAGGCAGATGCTCTTGGCAGTTGCTGTCTCTTGAGTTTAGCTACACGGTGCTAAAAAAAACAGGAAGTAACAGCTCCCGTTGTCTGATAGACAGCCATGAAGATTGTAAGAAGGTAAATTATTAAAAGTGCAAATTCCTATTAAACCTGCATATTTTTTTTTTTTTTAAAGAAAAAGAATATGCACTCTACTCATAAAGAACTTTAGCATGCTAAATTGTTATATGGATCTGAAGTGTTGCTTTTAAATATCTGCTTCATCTAGCCTTATAACTACACCTTCAGCAGCAGCAGGTCCTCTCCTCTCGCTCTGAAATGCATTGGGTGCCCCATGAAACATTGCCATGCAACCCATGGCAACTCTCTTGCGGCTTGCAAGAGGAAAGCACCTGGTGCTGCTGGAGGCTGAAAATTTGACTTTTTACACTGCTACGTTTAGTCATGGGTAAGATAATACCTTGCATGGGATTTTATCCACAGCGCCTCATGTTTGTTTTATAAGTTTATCACTTATAAACCCTTGTTGTTTTTAGCACAATGTCTTGGGCCAACCCTGTCTTAAGGTTATAAAGTTTCATAAAAATGACTAACATTGTTTAAATAATATGAAATGTGTTCTATAATCTGACAATACAATACCTTAGCATTCAAATGTCTGAAATTAATTTAATAGAATTAATAACATATAAAGAAAACACAATCTCTCACTGAACCCAATTTTTTAATATAGTGGAAATTTAAATCTGCAGGACTCAAGATGTGACACTGAATATATGTATTGCTACAATGTAAGACTTTATGGGTAAAATGACTAATTAGCAATTTTCCATATATACCGATGGGAGAACTGCCAATCAATTACTAAACAAGACATAAGTTAAACGTATATCTTGTAACAGACCATACCTGAGATTGCAAATTCAAGATAATGGAAAATGTTATCGAGTCTGATGTTTTTTTCCTGTACTAATAGCCAAACTAAAATAAGCAGTGTATGTTTTAAACATGGTTAATGACATTAAGTGAATACTTGTGTGTGCCTTAAAGTAGCAAATTTAAAATAAAAAAAATATATATAAAAAAACATATCAACTATTGCTTAAGGCAGCAAAATATAATTAGCTTTATGAACTGTTATCTAACAGTGTAAAACTGAGAATTTGCAGTAATACCCATTAATATGAATTCACTTAATGAAGACTCAGGGGAATAAAGATTAAAGAGAAAGTGGAACCAAAAAAAAAAAACAACAGGGGCTACAATTAAAATGCATATTTTTACTTGCAACCATAACAATGTAAATCAGTAGTTGACCAAAGAATTTTCAACAATATATTGCTTCTGATAATTCAGTTAACCCCTTTACTACCTACTTGATCAAATTCCAAAATGAGCAAGACAAAGCTGCCTTACAAAATGTCATTAGAAGGAAAACTCCATATACATTTGAAGAGAAGGTACTTTCCTTTTTCTCAGACATTTCATGCACAACTCTGCATTGGAGAATATCGCAGAAACCCCATGCAGCTACTCTTTCCGCACATGGCCTGTGGTACAGTTGGAGTACCCCATGTTTCCTACTCACGCAGCACAACAACAAATAACTAAAAATATCCAATGTTTCAGAGATGGATGCTTTCCTGTCTATATTTAGCTTTGGACTGATCTCTCAATCTCGCACTTCATGGAAAATGGAGGTTCCTGCTCCCTTATGGGACCTTGCAAATATCACCCCATTTAATCCTGCAAATTGAATTGCTCCAAACATTGCAATTACCTGAGAATAGATGTTATTTTTAGTTGGGAATCATCCTGTTTTCTTTATTTTCCTCACTATTTTTGGTCATGTACCAATTACTATTCACCCCTAATTCTATGTTTAGGGTCTAATAAAGGCGTTCTCTAAAATGCCCTGTAGTTCCTATTCTATAACCCCTCTCCCAGCTCAATGTGTTTGTTCTCTTATTTTAATATACTCCCGGGAGTTCTTACTAGTATTCAATGTAAGAACACTTTTTTATTTTTATTTCTTGAGTGAGATTCTCAAATTACCAGCTTATATGATGTCACTGTAAATCTGTTTAATCTGTTTCATTACAATGTGTGTGGCACACCAATGCTTTACTGTTATTGAGCTATTTTTCTGTGATTTTGTGCATCTCCATTTCACTCTGATATGTCCACCATATGTCTGACTGTGGCATAAGTAAAGAATAGAGTTGAGCGAACCCGGACTGTAAAGTTCGGGTTCGTACCGAACATTAAGTTTTTTTGGATCCCGGACCCAAACACGGACATATTAATGTATGTTCGGGCTGAAGTTCGGTGTTCGGTGATTTAATGGCACATTTTGAAAGACTGCAGGGCAGCCAATCAACAAGCGTTTGACTCGTGTGCCCTTAGAAGCCATCATAGCCGGCATGTGACAGAGCCTCTATATATAAGCTGGAGTTGAGTAGCGCCGAACGCACATGAGCTCTTATTAGTGTAGGGAGAGGATGCTGCAGCTGTTAGGGACAGGTTAGGAAAGAATTCTGGTGTTGAATCTGCAAACTACAGTGATTATTCAAACTACAGCGATTTATTTTTGTGAGTGCTATAATACTAAATTTTTGTACCCTGCCCTGAGCCCAGTGCCACAGAGAGTGCAGTGCCCTTGCAACTGCATGTGTGCCAGGCACATTACTTTAATCCTGTTCTGGTAGCTCAGTGGACAACATCTAGGCATTTTTAAATACTGCAATTTTTTTTGTGCTAAATAGTACATTTGCGTACTGCATTTCTTGCAGTCCAATAAAACCCTTAAATACTACTGTTACATTGTTGGTTTAAAAAAAATCTAACATTTTTTGTGCTAAATAGTACATTTGTGGCCTGCGGTGCACTTCATATCTGAGAGTCAAATAGAACCGTCAAATACTGTGCTTACAGCGCATTTTTAAAAATTCTAAAATTTTTGGTGCTAAATAGTATATTTGGTGCCTGCATATCAAATCTGAGAGTGAAATAGAACCATCAAATATTGTGCTTACATTGCAGTTTTAAAAATTCTAATTCTTTAGGTGCTAAAAAGTCAATTTGGTGCCTGCACTTCATATCTGAGAGTCAAATAGAACCGTCAAATACTACTGTGACATAGCAGTTTTAAAAATTCTTATTCTTTAGGTGCTAAAAAGTAAATTTGGTGCCTGCACTTCATATCTGAGAGTCAAATAGAACCGTCAAGTATTGTGCTTACACTGCAGTTTTAAAAATTCTAATTCTTTAGGTGCTAAAAAGTTAATTTGGTGCTGGCACTTCATGGCTGAGAGTCAAATAGAATCGTCAAATACTACTGTGACATAGCAGTTTTAAAAATTCTAATTCTTTAGGTGCTAAAAAGTAAATTTGGGGTGTGCACTTCATATCTGAGAGTCAAATAGAACCATCAAATACTGTGCTTACAGCGCAGTTTTAAACATTCAAATTATTTTGCTGCTAAATAGTACATTTGCTGCCTGCGGTGCACTTCATATCTGAGAGTCAAATAGAACCGTCAAATACTGTGCTTACAGCGCAGTTTTAAAAATTCTAATTCTTTAGGTGCTAAAAAGTACATTTGGTGCCTGCACTTCACATCTGAGAGTCAAATAAAACCGTCAAATACTGTGCTTACATTGCAGTTTTAAACATTTGAATTCTTTAGGTGCTAAAAAAAAGTATATTAGGGGCATGCACTTAATATCTGAGAGTCAAATAGAACCATCTCATACTGTGGTTACAGCGCATTTTTAAACATTCAAATTCTTTAGGTGCTAAATAGTCAATTTGGGGCCTGCACTTCATATCTGAGAGTCAAATAGAACTGTTGAATACTGTGGTTACAGCGCATTTTTAAATATTCATATTCTTTAGGTGCTAAAAAGTCAATTTGGTGCCTGCACTTCATATCTGGCTAGTTACCGCTTCTCAAGAAAGTCTAAAGACTTTTTTTTTTAAAAAGTGAAAAAAAATAAGTGTTATTTGTCGTCACTACCTCCCCGTGTCGGGAGTGGTTAATTTGCACGCCTGCTGCCTTCCTTGCATGTGGTAGCCATTTCTCAGGCTCCCTCTCTGGAATCGAACCCTGATTCCCCGTTACCCGTGGTCACCATGGTAGGCCCGGAAAATAGCATCGAAAGTTGATAGGGCAGACATCCGAATGCATTGTCGCCATCACGGGGATGTGCGATCGGCACAAGGTTATCACAGACAAGCGCAGCCGACAGTCCATGGCCAACTTGGACAAGCTCACATTTATCAAAATGAACCAGGCATTGATCCCACCAGACTTGTCTGTACCTTGTGCAGAATAGACATTTATACCGGCCTCACCCAGCCATTGTTATACTCAAGTGCACTTATTCTTTTTTTTTTTTTTTTCTTTTTTTATATGTCCCAATATTTTGGGGGCTACTCCAATTAAAAAAAATTAAAAATTAAAAGCAGTGTTGGCTACCTCCTCCTCCACCGCCACTGCTTCCACCTACACCGCCACGGTGTATACCCAAATATATCACCAGATATATCAGAGCTGCTGCAGAAAGTGCAGGCCGTCTGTGCACGCATTTGGCATTCTCACCCTGCTGCTGCTCGCCTGTCTGCGCTGCAGCGTAACTTCGACCTTCCCACTCACCGCCTCATATGCGATGTGCCCACAAGGTGGAACTCCACCTTGCACATGCTGGAGAGACTGTGCGAGCAGCAGCAGGCGATAGCGTAGTTTCAGCTGCAGCATGCACGGGTCAGTCGCTGTGCTGAACAGCACCACTTCACCACCGAGTGGGTCTCCATGCAAGACTTGTGTGCCATGTTGCGCTGTTTTGAGGACTTCACCAACATGGCCAATGCCGCTGATGCTGTTCTCATCCTTACTTCTATGTCTCCTTGAAAAAACGCTTTGGGCAATGATGGAAGAGGATGTGGCACAGGAAGAAAAGGGGTCATTTCCACAGTTATCAGGCCAGTCATTCACAAGTGGCTCGGAGGGTGGGTTCCTGCACAAGCATAGGCCAGGTACACAATTGTCCATCATCTCCACACTGTCCCATAGAAGCGTTCGGCTGTCCATCTCCCAAACACTGGAGAGAAAGAGGAAGTACCCCTCTACCCACGCGCGATCCGTGGCCCTGAATTCCAGCATTTCAAAATTCCTGGCCTTTGAAATGCTGTCATTCCGTCTGGTGGAGACGGACAGTTTTAAAAACCTGATGGCGTTTTTGGACTGCAAGAAATGCACCGCAGGCCGCAAATGTTTCTTTTTTTATATGTCCCAATAATTTGTTGGCTACCTCCTCCAAAATGGAATGAAGCAAAAATGTGATTCTTTGTTAAACTAATTTGCATGTGCCCACCCAGAATCTTTGCAGTTGTAACATCACTGCAGATTTGGAATTTCTGTGGGAAAAGCAAGTCTTATGGCTTGACTGGTGTGCAGATTTTTGTTTAACATTGTATTAACTATCCACAGACTTCAGGTGGAAGGGGTTTTAAATCACAATTTTCCCCCACCATAACCTAATTGGATTTTGCTTCCCAATCACTACCAAGCCTCAATAAGCAAACCAGTAACCAACCTCATGCTGAAGAGTTGCATTAACAACGAAACAGCTGTCCATGAGTGGTTCACTGGTTTTGCATCTTTTCCTAAATTGTGTTCCAAGCAATTGTATACTGCAAACACAGATTAAAAGGAATCCATGTTTAAAATGGAATGAGATAAATGTGATTCTTTGTTAAACTAATTTGCATGTGCCCACCCAGAATCCTTTGCAGTTGTTACATCACTGCAGATTTGGGATTTCTGTGGGAATAGTCTTATGGCTTGACTGGTGTGCAGATTTTTGTTTAACATTGTTTTAACTATCTACATATATAATATAATATAATATAATATAATATATTATATATATATATATATATATATATATAATGTGTAAAGTCATACGTAGTGTGTTATAATATTAAAATAAGTACATATATTAGTATTCTCCTCCTTTACTGTGTTGATTTCCTTTATGTATTTAAATGTTTCTATCATATCCCCCCTGTCTCATCTTTCCTCCAAGCTATACATGTTAAGATCCTTTAACCTTTCCTGGTAAGTTTTATCACATAATCCATGAACCAGTTTAGTAGCCCTTCTCTGAACTCTCTCTAAGGTATCAATATCCTTCTGAAGATTTGGTCTCCAGTGCTGTGTATAATACTCCAAGTGAGGTCTCACCAGTGATCTGTACAATAGCATGAGCACTTCCCACTTTCTACTGCTAATACCTTTCCCTATACAACTAAGCATTCTGCTAGCATTCCCTGCTGCTCTATTACATTGTCTGCCTACCTTTAAGTCATCAGAAATAATCACCCCTAAATCCCTTTCCTCAGATGTTGAGGTTAGGACTCTATCAAATATTCTGTACCCTGCCCTTGGGTTTTTACGTCCAATATGCATTAACTTGCACTTATCCACATTAAATGTCAGTTGCCACAATTCTGACCATTTTTCTAGTTTACCTAACTTATTTGCCATTTGGCTTATCCCTCCTGGAACATCAACCCTGTTACATATCTTAGTATCATCAGCAAAAAGACATACCTTACCATCAAGACCTTCTGCAATATCACTAATAAAAATATTAACGAGAATAGGTCCAAGTACAGATCTCTGAGGTACCCCACTGGTGACAAGTACAAGCTTCAAATATATTCCATTAACTTCAACCCTCTGTTGCCTGTCACTCAGCCACTGCCTTACCCATTCAATAATATTGTAATCCAAACTTAAAGATTGCAGTTTATTGATAAGCCTTCTATGTGCAACAGTGTCAAAAGCCTTACTGAAATCTAGGTAAGCAATGTCTACTGCACCACCCTGATCTATAATTTTAGTTACCCAATCAAAAAAATCAATAAGATTAGTTTGGCATGATCTCCCTGAAGTAAACCCATGTTGTCTCTGATCTTGAAAATCCATGTGTTTTTAGATGTTCAACAATCCTATCCTTCAACATGGTTTCCATCACTTTCCCCACTACTGAAGTAAGGCTTACTGGCCTATAGTTGCCCGACTCCTCCCTATTACCTTTCTTGTGAATGGGCACAACATTCACTAACTTCCAATCTTCTGGGACTACTCCTGTTAACAATGATTGTTTAAATAAATCTGTTAATGGTTTTGCTAGTACACCACTAAGCTCTTTTAATAGCTTTGGGTGTATTCCATCAGGTCCCATTGACTTATTTGTCTTTACTTTTGACAGTTGAAATAGACTCCATTTTGTTCATAGGCAGTAGTCCTAGAGACAAGAGACCTGAAAGTAAACGGAAGTGACGGATTAGCATCACGTAACTTCTGGTTTCGTATGCGTCTTAGGAAGCATCCATAGTAATAAGTAGTAGGGGCATGCGGGAAGATTTAACCTCCCTTTTATTAATATGGGGTTCATAGTGACCCCCATAGGCTTTAATGCAGGGAGGGGATTAGGAATTAATATTTTTATTACAAGGAGGGAGCTGGTAGCACTGCCGGCAGGGGGGACTGTCTAAGCTGTCAGGTAGTCCACCCCGACTGGGAACAACGCCGATCAGGTAAGTAATAAGGATGGCGGGGACATTTAACCGCCGTCCTTAAGGGGTTAAATGACAATAGTCTTCTTAATAGCAATATAGATAATGATGGAGCAAAACTACATCTCATAAAAAAACAGGAATAGAAAGAACACATAGTGTAGAATATATCTAACGATATAATAAAATTGGGTGTTTATAAAAACCACTAATGTGGTCCAGAGCCCTGGACAGGCTCTGTAAATAAAGCATAGGAGAGCCCCCTTCTTGAATCTTTATAGTTAGGAAAGGTAAACAGGAATCAAGCACCAGTAGTTTGCTCCTAAAATGTTTTATTACTTTATTAAGATAAAGTTGTTTGATGACAATAGTGTCACTTTAATAAAAAAGTTGTTTTTATTGTCTATAGGGTCCTTTTAAACAGAAGAAAAGAGTGATAGACAAATAACTACTGTAGATAATGATGAACAAAAAGGCAACTCTGATTTTATACTGTATATGATATGCCAAATTCTGTATTTTATATTCCAAATAGAGAAAAATATTTGGAAGAAAATTAGATCAGAAATTTTAATATATACTCAAAGCAAAAATATAATTGTATGCATGCGGCTGATATAATTCTAGGAATCACAAATCTTTGGTATTCTCAATGTAGAAAGCCAAAGAAAGGTTAAATCTATGATTCCATGCTGTGATTTTCTCAATGAATTGCAGATTATTTTCTTATAGAATAGGTCGTTTTTATTTATTATTTAGTTTTTGTCTAAATTGAATCCAAAACCTGCTGACCACATGTATATTAAATAGCTGCGACCCAATAATAGAAAAACATTATAATTTCAAAATTATTCTCAGAAGTGCAATGTTTTTCATTAAAGCAGAAAAGGATATGTTTTAGCAGTGGCAGTTTCATTCTTCTTAAATGCATGATTTATAGCTTAATGACTTGGCCTAAGGCAATTTCACAGTAAAAATATGGTGAAATTATGGCACTACTCTCAATGCATACAGAAATGTTTTATACACATATTCTCAATTAAACACCTATTACTGAAGCCAGGCATAACGGATAATATTGCCAAAGTATAACATTCTCTCTGAGGCCCAGGCATGTATATACAATGTGGCAGGCTACATCTGGGCAAAGGACTACTATTTGTTGGGGGAGGTGGGGGGGGGCGCAAAGCAAGCAGATTATAATTGTGCATACTAATATACTTTTTTTTAGTATTTATATATTCATAAAAAATCATGCATAATTGATTCTGGAAGAACAGCAATGAATTTATTATGGAAAGAGAGAATCTGTTTAATAAAGTTGTTTTTACCTGGTCATCATGCATTGCTGAGTCTAAACTATGGACTGCAGCTGTACTTCCCATAGAGAACACTACCTCACTTCCTTGTTGGATGTGTACCTTCCCAAACTGTCAAACACAATAGGAGGGAGAGTCATGATGCTGTTTGGAAAGTATGTAAATCTGCGGCTACAGGTTGTGATATTCACCACTGTGCATGCATGCACCTTCGGCCTTCCTTATGCTGGTTTGTAATCTATAAGATAAAAGGTTTCAGCTGTATGGGTGCACCTGTCACGATATTCATTTTCCTTGATAACCCAGTAGGACTTTAATTAATATTAATATCTCCATATGAGCAAGGGTCCTCTGAGTCATTGAACGCATTAAGATTTTTTATATATCTGCCCAATTGGCTTTCTTTTACACATGTGATGTTCCTATGTTTGGATTTTTATTAAAATTAAAAATAAAAGCTAAGAGTTATTGTTTTTTTACAA